AATGTTTGACCAGTACTTTTCAAAAGAGTTTAGGTCATGAAAGCAAGGAAAGACTAAGGAACAGATACACATTGGAGGAGCCTTAGGAGCCATGACAACTAAATATCACATAGGATCCTAGATTGCATCCTGGCACAGAGAAAGAAATGGTTGTATTCCAATAAAACTTTATGGACATTAAAATTTAAATTTCATGCATCAAAGTAGACTCTTCTTTTTTTTTTTTTTTTTGTGGTATGTGCCCCTAGCAGGAACCAAACCCAGGACTCTCTGGTCCGCAGGCCGATGCTCAACCGCTGAGCCAAACCGGCCAGGGTAACTCTTCTTCTTTTAATTATTTTTAAACCATTTAAACATATAAAAACACTTTTAGGGAAAAAGTGGTGAAACCTGTAAAGTCTACAGTTTATTTAATAATATTGTACCAATGTTAATTTATCAGTTTAAAAAAAAATTTTTTTTTTTTAATTGATTTCTAAAGAGAGAGAGAGAGAGAGAGATATGAAGGGAGAGAGAGATAGAATCATCGATGAGAGAAAACATTGATTGTCCGCTTCCTGCATGCCCCCCACTGGGGATCAGGCCCACAATCTGGGCATGTTCCCTGACTGGGAATCAAACTGGTGACCTCTTGGTGCAGGGGTCAACCACTGAGCCACACTGGCTGGCCTAATTTCTCAGTTTTTGATGACTGAACATTGGTATATAACATATTGATATTAGAGGAAGCTCAGTGGAGGATGTGTGGAAATTCTGTACTGTTTTTGAACCTCTTCTGCAATTTTAAAATTATTTGAAAGTAAAAAGTAAATAAAAACACTCCCTGGGTCACTCCACCTGGGGCCTTCCTTCTGTATTTTCCTTCAGAGGCAAACTCCTTGAAATTGACATCCACACACATTGTTTCTATTCTGCTTTCCATTTGTGCTACCAAAACCGCCTTGGATATTGTCACTACAGGAACTCAAGTTGGTAAATTCATGGCATCTTTCTAGACCTCATCTTATGTGACCTCTCAGGGCATGTGCCCTAGCTGTCCACTCCCTCCTTCTTGAAACACGTTGGCTTCCAAGATACAAAGCTCTCCAAGTTTTCTTTCTACATCTCTGGCTCCTCCTTTTCATTCCAACATCTCAGTGTTGAAATTTCTTTGACTTCAGTCCTGGGCTCCTTTTCTCTCCTTCTGCTCATGCTTTCCCCAGGCGATCTTACTCATACCTCTGGCCTCAAATACCATCTATATGCCAGTGGTTCCTAAAGTTGTAGCTGTACACTAGACCTCTCTGCAGTTCTCCAGACTCATATACCCACGTAGGTATTTAATATTGGCATTGGATATTTCTAATTTAAACTCTTATTCTCTCTAATATATGCTTTTCCTTTAACTCACCCCTCTCATTAAATGGGACCACCATTCTCTTCCTTCTGCCCAGTTTCTCATGCTAGAAACTAGCTGTCATTTCTCACATCCTTTTGTTCCTCACCCGCCAAATCCAGTAATTGATGAAGTCCAAAATATATATCTAGAAACATTCCATTTCTTTCCATATCTACTACACCTGCTATCATCTTTTGCCTAGACTACAGTGATAACCTCCTAACTGGTACCCCTGTATCCCCTCTTGCTCCCTCCAGCTCAGTCTCCAAACACTGACCACAGAGACCTTTTAAAAATAACACCCCAATTAGATCATTCCCATGTTTAAATTCCTTCCATTGCTTTTGACTTCCCACAGGAGAAACTGAAAATATAAGTTCTACCACACACTTTGTGATTGGGTATCTGCCTGCCTCCCTCACCTCATCCATTGCTTTCTGTTTTATGGTCCTATTACCTTTCTCTCAATACCTAAAATACAGTAGGTTCTTTGCCTGCCACAGTACTTTGTATCTGCATCTTCCTAGAATTTTCTCTCCCCAGAAATTCACTTGTGAAATCATCAGGGTAGGCTAGATTATGCTTTGGTAGCAAACATTCCCAACATTGCAGTAGTTTATGCCTAATAAGATTTATTGCTCTCATGACAATCTGATGTAGGTCAAGGTGGCTCTTCTTCAAGTGGAGACCCAGGAGTTCAGAGTTCTTCTAAATTGTGGCACCCCCATATTGAAAATGTGGCCTTTGTACTGCTGTGGAACGAGAAGAGAGTGTGATTATGCATGGGGTTTTCTCTGCCAGGCCTGGAAATGGCACATATCACCTCTGCCCACACCCCATTGGTCAGATCACAGTCACATGACCCTAGCCTAACTGCAAAATAAAATTTAAAAAAGTACTTCTCCTGTGGGTCCAGGAAGAGGAAATGAGATTGGTGAGCATCAGGCCAGTCTCTGCCACATCCTGGTTAAAGACTACTAATCTTTTAAGAATCAGTTTAAATAATACTTCCTTATAAAGGCCTTCAAGCTCCTCTGACCTAAATTAGGACCCTGATAAATTCTATTGTAGCGCCCTATAATTTTCCTTTATGGCATGATCACAATGGAAAGTTTATATTTCCTTGTGTAATAGCTTAATATTTATTCCATTTCTAGACTGTAGGCTTTATGTGAGCAAGGATTGCATGTTTTGCTCCCACTGTGCATCTGGTATCTACCACAGCACTTGATATATGATTGGTGTAAAAGTGATTGAGTGAACAAATGAACAATTGCGCATGATCATCCCCTGGATACAAATAGCATACTACTTGTGGAGGAGAAAGACAAATAAGTAAGCTGTCAGGGTTCAGTGCGGTGATTTTCAATCAGTGTGCCACAAGAATTTTTAAAACATGCAATACCTGATTATTTAGTCAGGGGCACTGGCTCCTTTTTCCTTAGATTGTCAAATTAAAAAATGACAATAGCCAACACAACAATAGCTGTCTGGTTTGAATGAATCAAAATTATACCTATTGTTTTTTTTTGTCAGATCAGCAAAATATATATTTTTTGGTATGCTACAGAATTTTAGTAATTAGTTTACGTGTGCCACGAGATACAAAAGGTTGAAAATGACTGGTGTAGTGGGATAAATGTTCCAGGTAGGTAAGCCCAGGGAGCTGAGGGCAACCTGAAAGGGCTAGGCGGCTTCTCCGCTTTATCTTCCATGCCAGTCCAATCCAGGAGTCTGCAAACTATGGCCTGCAGGCCAAATCTGTTTCACTGTCCTTTTATTTTACTTTATTTTTTTTTAATGGCCCAAGAGCTAAGAATGGTTTTCATATTTTTAAATGGCCAAAAAAGAATAAGAGTATATTGTGACACATGAAAATTATGTGAAATATAATTTCAATGTCCATAAATAAAGTTTTGTTGGAACGCAATCATATCCATGAGTTTACTTACTGCTTATGGCTGCTTTCAATACCAGAATTGAGACCACACAGTTAGTAAAACCTGAAATATTTACTGTTTGTTTCTTTACAGGAATACTTTGCTGCCTTCTGATATAATCCACGCTTAATTTAAAAGGTTACTTCTATGTGAATGATGTCCAAGTGTCCATCTTTTTAATCTTCTCTTTTTTCCATTCTCATGTCCACTGCCAGAAATTAGGCCTCCATAAGTTCTATCCTTGCAACAGTAGTGTAACCCTGCTATCTTTTTCCTCCTCCCTTCAGTTTATCCTTCTTACTAATTTCCAAGAGAACAGCTTTGATATTGTAAGTACTGTTTGAAGCTGCCCATCCTGAACTAAATAAAATTTGCATGGCTTAGCATGGTAGTCAAGGTCCTCCACATCTTACCTTTTCAGCAGTATCTTTTAAATAATACTCAATCAACTTTATCTATCATTTAATCCGCCCTTGCATTTTTCTTCTTCTTCTTCTTCTTTTTTTTTTTTTTTTTTGTGGTATGTGACCCTAGCAGGAACCGAACCCAGGACTCTCTGGTCGATGCTCCAACCGCTGAGCCAAACTGGCCAGGGCTGCCCTTGCATTCTTTACATGCAGGTCCATGCTCACAGTTACCATCTCTGTGTGAAATGTCTGCTTCCGGTATTTCCATCTTATTCATTCTTCAAATTGGTTATTTCAAATGCCTCCTCGCCCTATAAGCCTTCCCCAGCTCCTCTACTGAGAATAATTATTGTCATTGGTGTGATTCTCTAACAGTTTGTATGATTGTTTTATTTCAAATTCTGCTTTATAGTTTCCTGTGTAAATGCACAGATTGTATATTTTTCTCATGTTCTAGTGAAAGCGGCTTAGGGGAAGGGGTTGTGTTCTATTTTATTAATCTCTGCATCCTAGTATGCGTCTTGTACAAAATGGAAATGTCTATCCTTTTTGCAAAAGTCCTCATCCAGAGCTGGGACTGTGAACTTTGGCTAAGAACTATTCTACCGATATTTAAGCACAAACTCTACTTAACTTGTTTAGGGCTCACTAACGCGAGTGACATCTTTTTAAGACACGTTGTCTTTCAGCTGATCACACACCCCTGTGTCAACACCTAGGACCTCAGGTTCCTCCTCCAAACACGTGCGTGTGAAGCGTTACCCTCCAGACCCTCTTCTGTCCACGGTGATTGGCGGACAAAACGTTCCAATCAGCTCTCCCGCCTCTTTTAGCAATAGCCAATCACAGACCCCGAGGGCCTCCTGACTACTAGACACTGTTTACTAACAGATTGAAGCTGGGGAATAGGGGCGTGACCGTTCTGGGGAGGTCAGGGAAGGAAAGGTCCTGACTGCGCGTGTGCACCAGGGGAAATAGGCGGGGCAAAATCTCGGATCTCACCAATCGGAGTAATTGCGCTCCTCCCTCTCCTGCCTCCCCGCCAAGCAACAACAAATCGAGGAGTGGGGCGGGGCAGCTCTTGAAGCGTCAGAGCGGGTTGTCAAATGGGAGCCGGCATTGATAGATGCGCGCGCCCTGTGCCCAATAAGCGATGGCGGCTCGAATGGCTCCGATACTTTGCTGGCTGTGGGCGGAGCGGCTTGAAGGAGGTGGCGGTGGAGCAAGGGGCGGTTTGGTTGCGCGGTACTAGCGGTGCCAGCTGTAGGGGGAGGAGGCGGAGGAGCGAGCCGTGCGGCCAGAGCGGGAAAGAGAGTCTTCTCTGCGTCCGAGTTCTGGAGCCGCCGCACCCCGGCTCCTGGGGCTGCAGCGGGAACTCGGAGGGGCCGGGCTTCCGTTGCCTCCCGGGTCCCCTCGTAGAAGCCCGCGGGATCGGAAAGCGAGAAGATGGAGGAGGGCGGCAGCGGCGGCGGCGCTGCGGGGACCAGCGGGGACAGCGGCGCCGCGGGAGAGCAGCTCCTCACTGTCAAGCACGAGCTGCGGACGGGTGAGCGACCCCGCCCTCTGCCGGCCAAGCCCGGCGCGGGGGCGCGCCCTGAGGGCACGCGAGTGCTCGTGCAGGGCCGAGGGGCGCGGGGTCCGGCAGTGGGCGCAGGGGGCGGGCCCGGGGCGGGGTCTCGCGGACGGGGCCGGAGCCAGGGGGTCCCGGGAGGTAGGGGCGCGCCCGGGGGCAGCCGGCCGAAAGTTTTCCTGAGCCGGGGAATGAGCGGCTGGCGCTGGGCGTTGGGGCCCGCGGGGTAGCAGACAGCTGCCTGTTGGCACTGGTCTGCGGGGATGTCTTCAGGTCTCTTTCCCGCACAGGTGACACATCTGTCACTGCATCCTGTTTGGGGTAAAAGGTGCGCCTTCCTCGGTGTGGGATGAAGGATGCTTTGTTTTGGAGCGTGCCTCCTCCACCCCTCTGCTTCCCTAGAGGTGGTCCCAGTGGGGTTTTGTGGAATCATCCCCTTTAGGTTCTGGGGTCCTGCACGAGATAAAAGGGTGGCTGTCCCCGGGGTTTTTCAAGAGTGCAGTCTCTAGTGAGATAAAGAGGGCTCCAGGGACTGAGTTCCTTTATTTTCAATTATCATGAAATACTATACTTGGCCTTGAATTTCTTTCAAAGGTCTCTTGAAATGAAGGCTCTGTAAATTTAAAGCTCGAGTGAAAAGTGACTCACTAGCCTGCTTAAGCGCTTATGTGCTAATGTTTGAGAACATAGAGGTGTCCCAAGCTTTATATTTAAATTACTTTATTCGTTGTGTGGGTCCAGATTGTTCCTTTTAGAAAATGCTTATTTGGACGAGTCAGTAAGTTTAGATTTATATTTGTGGAGCCCAATCTCATATTAGAGATTCCTTTTCATTTCTGAACAGATACTACTTTAATGAGTTGTTCATGATTACTAATTAAATTCATGATTACTAATGACATTTACACATGTTTTTGATTCAGCTTCATTGACATATTAGGATATTCTTTTATTGTGTAGACAGACTTATATAGCAGGTTTCACCTTGTTAATGTTTTGGGCAGCTTTTAAAGTTAGATCTGTCCCAGTTATTTTCGTTTTTGTTATTTCTAATTTGATTGCCAGTCAGCATTCCACCAAGTGCCAGTGTGGTGACTTAATTTAAGAGGATGTCAAATGCATGCTTCCTTATTTCAGCATTTTTAAACATTGGCTTTTTGTTTTTTTGTGAATTTATGTATCTTGAGCCAGTTATTCCATAATCTATTTGAGTTCCTAACATAACCTGTGTAGGTTTGCTTGGTTTGATTTCTGTCTCTCAATTTAATAGACAACTGATGTTTTCAGAGGGTCATTCAATTATTTATTCAGTAAGCATTTATTCAGTATTAATATCTGATTTGTGCTAGGCTCAGTGTCAGGTGCTTTCTGGAGTGGAGATTTTTAATTTCTTTTTCTTACCTTACATAACGATTCACTGATTTTTATATGTAGGATTGTTCTGTACAGCAAAAGCTACTTGAAGTCATATGCTCCTCAGCGTTGACCATGGTACAACAAGCAGCTTTTTTTTTTTGCTAAATGACCGAAGAGCAACCTACTTGTTATTAGTAGTCAACCAACTGCTCAGTTTCTGGGTTTTGCAAACAATGCTAGTTTTGTAGAAAACAATGAGTACTGCTCTATTTCCCTTTCTCTACAGTGTGAATCATCAGCTTCATGTTTGCATTTCAGAAATTTTTCTGATGGATGGTGAGATTATACTGAATTCATTAGTACTTTTAACTGTCAAAGGAAACGAACAAGTCATTTTGATTTATCGCTGAACATTGGGACAACTGACCGGATATAGTGGTCAAAAACACTTAAAATCTAACTTGAAAAATTCACTCATCTTCAGCCAACTGTGCTCCTGTCAGCACATGATGCTATAATAGGCACCAGAGTAATCTGATCTGACAGTGGTCCTTTGCTTTTCAAAATGTGGTCAAGTATATAGCCATATCAAGTCAGCAGTTGGTGATTGCCCACTTGTGCCCCAGCACTGTATTGTATGTGGCAGGGTGAATGGAAAGGTAATAAAAGTCACATGTAAGGACATGGACATTGTTCCAGTTGTACATACTAAAGTACTGTGACATACCTGGACATGGGATTGGAACATTTCATTCCAAGTATCAGCTCCGCCACTTACTAGCTATGTAGCCTTGGGCAAGTCATTTCACTCTTTCGGACTCACTTTTCTCATCTATAAAATGTGAAAATTGATGAGACCCTGTTGTAAAAGTGCTAAGCAGATTGCTTGGCACATATTAAGCACTTAGGAGATGTTGATTGTCTGTAAATCTGAAAATCACTCCATTACAGTGTCTTTTCTTTAAGTGTGTGAATTAATTCAGTGTAACTTGGAAAACATTTCACTCATTTGGTGCTCAGGCTATGCCACATTGCCACGCTATCATCTTTTTCTGTACATGTCTTCAGAAGTAGAGTGTGAACTCCTCATTCCTGCTGCTGTTTAGCAGCCTATGCACATCTCTTAAATAGCATTTAACACATGTTGTGTAATCAATGTACTTGTCTGTGCTATATTGTGAGGTCTTTGAGACCTAGTTCTTTGTTCTTTGACCATATCCCTTGTCCATTTTTAGCACCTGGCATATGTTAAGTATTCACTTATTTGTTGAATGAATTCATTGAATGGATGAAAGTCCAGGACCGAGTCTAACTATTGTATTCCCAGTATCTTGGATACATTACGTGGTTGAAAAATTGATGACAGCATCTATAAAAGTTGAAGAATGAAGAGTAAAGAATTGACTAGACCATTTAAATGTACATTTCTTCAGCACTTTATTTTCTAGACTAGATGGTACTTATGAAGCCAAAAATGACTAAGAAAGTGTTTTGCTCTCTGATAGTAGGGGAGGAGGCCATGTAAACCAGTAATTAGGATACAATATCATAAGTATAATAATAAAAGATTATACAGAGTATAAAGGTAGCAAAAAAGAGGTTAGGACTATTAGGTTTCAAATAATCAAATATAACTCTTATACAATAGCAACGAAGAGGAGGAGGTATTATTGGAAGGATACAGGGTTATCGTTCTCATTAATTTATTCAATACATATTTCATTATCTCTTATGTATTGAGTGCTGTTTTACATGATGAGTTATGAGGCAGATATGGTGTTCCTACCAGAAGGACAGGATTCCCACTGGAACCAGAGACTTAGATATTCCTTCCATCTTGAATCTTTGTCTCTGTACGATGACTTTATTTATTTATTTATTTTTTTTTATTTTTTTTATCCTCACCCGAGGACATTTTTCCATTTTTTGTACAGATAGAGTGGGAGGGAGAGAGAGGAAGGAGAAAGAGAGAGAAACATCGACGTGAAGGGACACATCGAGTGGCTGCCACCCGCACGACCAACCAGGGCCGGGGACAAACTGCAACCGAAGTACGTGCCCTTAGCGGGAACCGAACCCGGGTCTCTCCGGACCGCAGGCCGACGCTCTAACCGCTGAGCCAAACTGGCCAGGGTCTGTACGATGACTTTATTCTGCTGTCCAACTTTTCCCACATGGGAAAGAACGTGGCTGCTAATAGACCCCAAGTTTTACATTTTACAGCTTCACATACTGGAGAGACACTGCCTTTTACTTAGGTTTAGATATTAAAAATCTCAGCGGTGGACTTTATTGGCCTGGCTCTGGTCAGGTGCCCTCCTTTGGGTCATTCAGCAAAGGCCAGGGAATGGGATTATGTTTTACTAACGTGACAGCTACTACAGTAAACACGGATGGGGTGAAACTAAATTCTTACAATAGGAAGGTTGCTGGGAACACATTTCCTTAGGTGTCTATCATTAGGAGAGAGAGCCTAGCACTGAGGAGAGGGTCAAGGACGAGGTATTAGTTATCCGTTGCTGTGTAACAGATGGCCCCAAAACTTAGTGGTTTGTATAGCAATGTGATTTCTGTGGGTTAAGACTTGAGGAGTTGTTTAGTTTGATAGTTCTGACTCAGGGTCTCAAGAGGTTGTCCAGATGTTTGCCAGGACTGAAGTCACCTGAAGGCATGTGAAGGAGCTGGAAGTTCCCCTTCTAAGATAGCTCACTCGTGTGTGGTGGGCAGGATGCTTTAGTTCCTTGCCATCTGGACCTCCCCATATGACTGTTTGAATGTCCTCCTGATATAACATCTGGCTACTTCAGAACAAGTGACTGAAGAGAGAGCAATATGGAAGCCACAATGTCTTTTATGTTAAACAGCTTTTTTTTGAGATATAATTTACATAACACAAAAATCTACTTTTTAAAAAGTGTACAATTCAATGAGTTTTAGTATATTTATGGAGTTATACAACCATCACCACAATCTGATTTTAGACCATTCCCATTACTTTAAAAAGAAGTGTCTTACCCATTTATATCAGTCACTCCACATTCCCACCACCCATCCCCCGCCCTAGGCAACCGCTAATTCTACTTTATATATTTGCCTAGGGACAATATAGTGTAATAGAATTTTACAATATGTGGTCTTTTACAACTGGCTTCTTTCACTAAACCCAATATTCATCCGTGTTGTAGCATGTATCACCACTTCCTTTTTTTTTTTTTTTTTTTTTTTGAGAGAGAGAGAGAGGAAGGGAGAGTGAGAGAGAAATAGAAACATCAATGAGAGAGAACATCAGTTGGCCGCCTCCTGCCCACTGGGGATTGGGCCCACAACCTGGCCATGTGCCCTGACTGGGAATTGAATCCGTGACCTCTTGATGCATGAGTCAACGCTCAACCAGTGAGCCACGCTGGCCAGGCGGGACTTCCTTCTTTAAATTGACAGATAGATAGTATTCCATTGTATGGCTATACCATAATTTGTTTATCCTCTCATCAGTTGATTGACATTTGGGTTGTTTTCACCTTTGGCTCTTGTGAATAATGCTGCTCTGTACATTTGTGTACAAGTTTTTTGTGGACCTGTGTTGCATTTCTCTTGGGTAGATACTGAGGGTAAAGTTACTG